CCTCCCTGGGCAGCCCGGGGCAGGGCTCCGTCACCCTCAGAGGGAAGAAGTTCTTCCTCGGGTTCAGCTGGAGCTTCCTCTGCTTCAGTTTGTGCCCGTTGCCCCTTGTCCTGTCGCTGGGCACCACTGGAAAGAGTCTGGCCCCATCCTCCTGACCCCCACCCTGCAGATATTTAGAGGCATTTCTAAGGTCCCCTCTCAGCCTTCTCTTCTCCAGGCTGAACAAGCCCAGCTCCCTCAGCCTCTCCTCGCAGGAGAGATGCTCCAGTCCCCTCCTCATCCTCCCAGCCCTGCACTGGACTCTCTCCAGTACTCATCTTTCTTGAACTGGGGAGCCCAGCACTGGACCCAGTACTGCAGATGGGGCCTCCCCAGGGCAGAGCAGAGGGGGAGGAGAACCTCCCTCGCCCTGCTGCCCACACTCCTCGTGATGCACCCCAGGAACCCAGTGGCCTTCTGGGCACCCAGGGCACGCTGCTGGCTCATGGTCACCCTGTCATCCACCAGGACACCCAGGTCCCTCTCCACAGAGACCTTCCCCTACCACCATGCACAAGCCTCATCTCAAAGAATTAACCTTATAAGTCTCAGAGGGTAATCAAATCTCATGCTTCAGGGCGTAAGCCGATCACCAAAGGGGTCAGGAAGGAATTACGGCCCCCCACGAGCAGGGGATTTTTGCCTTTCCCCTGATGTGGACCATATTGGCCGTTGCCAGAGTCAGCCGGCCGGCCCTGAAGGCCTGATGGTCTGATCTCTTCTGGCAAATCCTCTCCAGTAATTCCCCTAATGACATTAGTGACTCTTACTTGCTCTCCTCCCCTGGTTTTGGTTTTGGCTGTCGTTCTGGTCCCCTCCGCACAGGCTCATGGTCCGTGCACCCACGGGAGGCAGGAGCAGGGTCAGACCCACCGATGCCGTAGGTTGGGTGCGAGATGCAGGGGTAGAGCTTCACCCCCAGCGAAGGATTTGCAGAGCCCCTGCTCAACCTTAACCCCTCCTGAGGTTCTCGACGCCTCAGCGGCCCCCAGCCGCCGCTCTCGATGCGCTCCACACCCACA